GATTGTCTCACTAGATGCCGAAAAGGCTTTTGATAGAGTAAAATGGCTATACCTATTCAAAGTCCTGGCCCACTTCGGTCTACCAGAGGAATGCATTGCACTCATTAGAGCAACGTTAGAGCACAGGTACAGGTATCGGGAGCCTCCCCCCGCACTTTTCAGCTTCATAATGGCACGAGGCAGGAATGCCCATTATCTCCACTCCTCTTTATCCTGTCTCTCGAACCCTTGCTACAGGCACTTAGGCAACACCCACGAATAAATGGAATTACAGTGAGGGGAAGGGAATTCCTGGTTTTGGCATATGCCGATGATGTGCTCTTGACACTTACAAACCCAGTCCAATCCATGTTGGCACTGCAGGAAGTCCTCCAGAGCTACAGGGGGGATCTCAGGCTACATAGTGAATATGACCAAATCTAGTGCGCTCCCAGTGCGAATGTCGGTGGCGGACACGGTGGCGATTGGGGACAAGCATGCCATACATATCGAACATACCTCCCTTAAATATCTGGGAGTGCGCTTGACCCCGGAAAACTGTTTCACCACAATTACACCCCATTAATGAAAACCCTGATGAGAGATAGGATGGATTCACTCCATAAAATGAATATCTTGCCACGCATCTTATTTATGTTCCAAGCACTGCCCATACACCTAACTAAGGCCCAGCTACTTCCACTGCAACGAACCATAGGCGCTTTTATATGGCAAAACAAACGCCAAAGAATATCTAGACAGATCCTTTATAGACCTAAGACAAGAGGAGGACTGGGATTGCCCTGCCTATATTACTATTACTTGGCGGCCCAGTTAGCACAGGTGGCGATGTGGCACACCCCCCTGGCGAAAGGAAATGGGTGGACATAGAATCATTAATGATCGGAGCAGACCTCCTGCAATTTACCATGTGGGTCCCAAAAGAACATAGACCCATGATCAGAGTCACCTGCCCAGCGATCCTGAACTCATTTAGACTGTGGAACCCAACACATATGAATTATAATCTAGCATCCTCACCCTCTTCCCTGATGCCCTACCTTCGTACTACGGCATTTACCCCAGGCATGACCGCCAGAGACTTTAGGAACATGGAGCAAACAGGACTCCAGAGAATATGCCAATTATTCAAAGGCACCGAAATAGTAGGGTTCGACGACCTCGCACAGGGGAGGCACCTCACGCCAGGCGCTTTTTTTTAGATATATTCAACTGAAAGATTTTGTAAAACACCCACACCTTAGAAGCGCTGCTTTACAACCACTGACTTTTTTTGAGCGCTGGTGTCTGACGGAGAATTTGCCCGGGTTATGATCACGCTGCTGTATGCTCATATCTACTCGGAGTGGATAGAATGGAGCAGACTAAAGCATACTGACCAGTGGGAACAGGAATTGGGAGAAGTACTGGAGGGGGTGGAATGGCAGGAGATATGGGAGGCCAGTGCTACCACCTCTGTATGTGTTACCCTCCAGGAGCAATCCTTCAAAACGATGTTCCGGTGGTATACTACCCCGGTAGAGTTGTCCACAACGGATTTATGTTGGAGGGGTTGCGGCCTCAAAGGTTCTTATTTACACATGTGGTGGGAATGCCCTAGTATGATTCGATTTTGTAACCTAGTTAAAGACCTCCTGGGGCAGCTCTGGGAGGCTATTCTGACATCTTGCAAACAAATTCAAGCAGAAACTGTCCAAAAACTCACAAGTTCAATGGATGCAAGACTTGTGAAGCTGCTATCAAATAAGATGCAGAGGTATTCTTTGACGCATGAGATGGTGCATTGTCATACATGAAGATGATTTTATTATGGAAAGCATAGTTCTTCCTTCTGTACCAGGGAAGAAAGTGGTCAGTCAGAAACTACACATACTTTGCAGAAGTCATCTAAAGGGGCCGACCGGCTCTCTTCCCATGATTCCGGCCTAAAATATGACTCCACCACTGCCGTGCTGACGTCGCAGCCTTGTTGGAACAGGGTGTCCGTCCACCGACCATCCACTACTCCATCCATCTGGACCATCCAGGGTGGTGTGATCTGATCATCACTGTGAATGTTTACATGGTGTGTTCAATAAAAACATGACAACATTTCATTCTTTGTGTGTTTTTAGTTTAAGCAGACTGTGATTGTCTATTGTTGTGACTTAGATGATGATCAGATCACATTTTATGACCAATTTGTGCAGAAATCCATATCATTCCGAAGAGTTCACATACTTTTTCTTGCAACTGTATCTGTATGCTGCTACATAATGGTATTTTAGCAGCTGCTCTCTTGATCCAATGCATGGATCTGGCAGAAATCTTCCTCAATGTGCCTTTATCTGCACGAACCCGTCTGTGCTCGGAATCAACCACAAATCTCTTAATAGTGCGATGAACATGCTTAAGTTTTCGTGAAATATGTAATGTTTTCATACCTCGTGCAAGGCATTGAACTATTTCACTCTTTTAGGCAGCAGAGAGATCCTTTTTCTTCCCCATATTGCATGAAAATGGTGCTCTGCTTAATAATGTGGAACACCCTCCTTTAGTAGCTTTTCCTTAAATTGGGCTTACCTGGCAATCTAATTATCACAGATTGTTTTCAGTGATCAAAAGAGCCCTGAGACACAATGCCATCCATGAGTTAAACTGAAAAACAAAATATTTAATCTTTGTGACACAAAGAGAATTTGCATAATAATTTGGAACAGGGTGTATATACACACACACACACACACACAGTGAGGGAAAGAAGTATTTGATCCCCTGCTGATTTTGAATGTTTGCCCACTGACAAAGTCATTAGTTTTTGAGGCTGACATTTGGCAAATTGAACTTTCAGCTCCCTCCACAGATTTTCTATGGGATTAAGGTCTGGAACTGGCTAGGCCACTACAGGACCTTAAAGGGACTCTCCAGTGTCAGGAAGACAAATCGTTTGCTGGCACTGCAGGTCCCCTCTCCCTCCCACCTCCCATCCCCAGTTGCTTCAGTGACTTAACTGAGGCAGCGCCGATGTCCCTCGGTGCTGCTTCTGGGGCCGCCCATGCTCCTCCCCGTCACCACGTCATCCTGCGTGGGAGACCTACTGCGCACGTGCATTAGACCTCTCCATAGGTCAGCATTGAAAATGCTTTCCTATGGGGATTTTAGCGAAGCTGGAGGTCCTCACACAGCGTGAGGACGTCCAGCGACGCTATAGCACAGAAAACCTGTGCTAGAATCCCTTCTAGTAGACAGCCACTAGAGGAGGAGTTAACCCCGCAATGTAATTACTGCATTTTATGAAAACTGCAATAATTACACTTGCAAGGTTAAGGGTAGTAGCAGTTGGCACCCAGACCACTCCAATGGGCAGAAGTGGTCTGGGTGCCTGGAGTGTCCCTTTAATGTGCTTCTTCTTGGGCTACTCCTTTGTTACCTTGGCAGTGTGTTTTGGGTCATTGTTATGCTGGAATACCCATTCACAACCCATTTTCAATGCCCTGGTTGAGGGAAGAAGGTTCTCACCCAAGATTTGACAGTACATAGACCCGTCCCTTTGATGCAGTACAGTTGTCCTGTACCCTTAATATTTTTTTTTCCTTTGGTTTTTACTTATTAGCTGTAGCACTTAGTGGGCACTCCAGATAACCCACAAACCAAAATACAAAAGTGACCAAAAAATACAAACTTCAATGTTTAGGTGACAACCCCCCACCTAATAAAACATTTAAGTGTATAAAGTGCAGCGCTTAGTTTATAACATGCATTTTATTTGTAGGTTATAATCTGAGTGCTGCACTTCATACACTTAAATGTTTTATTAGGTGGGGGGTTATCACCTAAACATTGAAGTTTGTATTTTTTGGTCACTTTTGTATTTCAGTTTAAAAAACGTATCTAAAAATATTCTAGATTGATTCTTGTGTTTGCTGCAGTGTGTCTTATTTCCCCAATTTGTTCTTTTTGATGGTTTATGTAACTGATTTATTTGGATTTTTTATTTCTAGCATTTGTAAAATAGTTAAATAAACAAATAAATAAAGATATGTGTCTGCCCCTTATTGGGCAGGATAATTTGCTTGAGGGCTGATGTAGGTAATCTTTTAGAAAAGTAACTCTGGTAACTAAACATCTAAGTTTCAGTTTAAGGAAATGGTTTCCTTACGTAAATCGAGACTGGGAAGGAGTTGGAGGTCGTTCACTACTTACTCCTCATGATGATATTGCATAATATTTACTTTTGGCGCCATGTATTTCTGCCAATTCGACTTATAAAAGCCCTGATCTTGGACTAAAACCACTTTCTATTTCAATCAAAATATGGAAAATTGGCCAGAAAAGTAAATATGTTTGCTGTCACTAATGTTTATTTATAATCATTGCTAGAAAAAAAAAATAACGAAACTAGCGGACACTTTTTTAATTCGTCTCCTGTACTGTAGCCTCTGAAAGCAGAATCAAACAGTTGACTACACTGTTATGAAAACATCAGCTGTAAAAGTCAAAAAGTATTTTTTCTTTCTTTACCATTAATGTCGAATGTCAAGTGTTAGAAAACATGCTAGTTTTTTTTATATAAATGAAAATATATTTTTGCTTCCCTTTAGTCTGTTACCAGAGATTTTCAGCCCCATGAGTTTTTCCCAAGATCATGCTCACAATGCCTCCCGAACTAAATTGGCAAAGGTTAAGACTACAGTATTATCATTAGCACAGAGCTGAAAGCAAACAGACTGAGCTAGTAGTGCTTAACATGTCTGACAGTAATTTGGCAACATGTGCCTTAATGCTGTGCTCTGGCTACACATGGAAACCAAAATCATTATTATTACCACCGTGCAAACTCCCATACTGCTTCTGACCCTCACCCCTCATTTTTCCTGCTCTGGAACTCTCAAAGTTTAGAGAGGATGGGGGAGATAAAGAGGCTGGGGGAGACACAGATGCTGGGCATAGGCGGGCGCACGGGCTGTGCCACATTGGCGTGCACAGCCTATTGCATTAGGGTGTGCACCCTAAAACACAAACACACGCCGCATGTGTGTGTGCGTGTGTGTGTGTGTGTGTATGTATATATATATATACACACACACACACACACACACACACACATACACTGCTGTGTGTGCTGTGTGAGGGTGCTGTGTGCTGTTAGTGTGATGTGTGTGTGAGGGTGTTTGTGTGTGTGTGTTTGTGACTGTGCTGTTTGTGTGTGAGGGTGTTTGTGTATGTGTGTTTGTCCTGTGAGGGTGCTGTTTGTGTGAGTGTTGTGTATTTGTGAGGGTGCTGTTTGTGTGTGTGTGTTTGTGAGGGTGCTGTTAGTGTGCTGTGTGTGAGGGTGTTGTGTTTTTTTTAAAGGTGCTGTGTGTGTTTGTGAGGGTGCTGTTAGTGTACTGTGTGTGTGTGAGCTGTATGTGTGTAGGTGCTGTATGTGTGTGTGCTGTATGTTTGGAGGGATTGTGGAGGTGGGGGCAGATTAGTAAATCCTTGCTGCCATGTGCCATCCCTGGTGGTCCAGTGGAGAGTGAACTCTAGCCTGCGGGGCTAGAGTTAACTCTCGTGAGATCTGAGCGTTGCTGCCGGCCCATGGAGGCTTAGAGCAGAGCCGGCACTCAGATAGCGCCGGCTCTGCGTGTGTGTGTGTGTGTATGTATACATACACACACACACACACACACTCACAGACACATTCAGACACACACACACTCACACACACATTCACAGACACACACTCACACACACACATACACTCACAGACACACACACACATGCACAGACACACACTCACACACACACATACACTCACAGACACACACATTCACAGACACACACTCACACACATACACTCACAGACACACACACACACACACACACACACAAACATACACTCACAGACACACACATTCACAGACACACACACTCATACACATACACTCACAGACACACACACACATACAAATTATTATATTTTAATTAAAAAAAATGTCCACCCAGCCTCCTACCTGGAGTGCTGGCGTGGACTTGTCCCTGGGGTACAGTGGGGCGGGCGCCTCTCTCCATCTCAGCCGCGGCGAGGGAGCTGTCTGCTCTCTGCTCCCTCTCGCCGCGCTGGCTGTCTGCTGTAGCTGGGAGCCGGAATATGACGTCATTTTCCGGATCCCGGCATCGGCAAATGGCGCACGGCGAGAGGGAGCAGAGAGCAGACAGCTCCCTCGCCGCGGCTGAGATGGAGAGAGGGGTAAGAGGTGAGACAGGGGGCGCTGTGTGCCTGCAGGAACAGCATTCCTGCTAAAAAAAAAGTGCAGGAACGCTGTTCCTGCAGGACTCAAACCATAGGCGTGCCACGGGGATTAGGGTGTGCCCAGGCACACCCGGGACACACCCGGCACACCCCGTGCGCATGCCTATGGTGTGCCTGGGCACACCCTAATCCCCGTGGCACGCCTATGGTTTGAGTCCTGCAGGAACAGCGTTCCTGCACTTTTTTTTTAGCAGGAACGCTGTTCCTGCAGGCACTCAGCACCTGTCATGGGGAGGGCAAGAGGTGATGAATACCCCCCTCTCTGCATCTCAGCCGCGGCGAGGGAACTGTCTGCTCTCTGCTCCCTCTCGCGAGAGGGAGCAGAGAGCAGACAGCTCCCTCGCTGCGGCTGAGATGCAGACAGGCGTCCGCCCCACTGGACCCCAGGGAAAAGTCCACGCCAGCACTCCAGGTAGGGAGGCTGGGTGGACATTGTATTATTAAAATATAATAATTTGTCTGTGAGTGTGTCTGTGTGTGATGTGTGTCTGTGAGTGTGTCTTTGTGTGAGTGTGTGTCTGTGAGTGTGTCTGTGTGTGAGTGTGTGTCTGTGAATGTGTGTGTGAGTGTGTGTATGTGAATGTGTGTGTGTCTGTGAGTGTATGTGTGTGTCTGTGAGTGTATGTGTGTGAGTGTGTGTCTGTGAATGTTTGTGTGTATTTGTGTGTGTGTCTGTGAGTGTGTGTCTGTGAGTGTATGTGAATGTGTGTGTGTCTGTAAATATGTGTGTGTCTGTGAGTGTATGTGTGTGTGTCTGAATGTGTCTGTGAGTGTGTGTGTGTGTACGCCGCATATATATATATGCACACACACGTGTATATTATTTTTTTGGGGGGGTGGGAATTCCGATCTCCCCTGTCGGCTCACGCAGAGCTGGCGCTATCTGAGTGCCAGCTCTGCTCTAAGCCTCCATGGGCCGGCAGGGAGACCAAAGATCTACCTCACCGGCCCACAGCAGCATGGAGGGAGGCAGGAGAGGACCCAGGGAGCTCTAGACAGAAGCTCTGCCAGGTTCCTCTCGCGATATCTGAGCGTTGCTGCGGCAACGCTCAGATCTCGCGAGAGTTAACTCTAGCCCCGCAGGCTAGAGTTCACTCTCCACTGGACCACCAGGGATGGCACATGGCAGCAAGGATTTACTAATCTGCCAAATCCCTCCAAACATACAGCACACACACACAGTACACTAACCGCACCCTCACAAACACACACAGCACCTTTAAAAAAAACACAACACCCTCACACACAGTACACTAACAGCACCCTCACAAACACACACAGCACCTTTAAAAAAAAAAAACAACACCCTCACACACAGCACACAAACAGCACCCTCACAAACACACACCCAAACAGCACCCTCACAAATACACAACACTCACACAAACAGCACCCTCACAGGACAAACACATACACACAAACACCCTCACACACAAACAGCACAGTCACAAACACACACACACACACACACACACAAACACCCTCACATCACACTAACAGCACCCTCACACATACATCACACTAACAGCACACAGCACCCTCACACAGCACACTAACAGCACACACAGCAGTGTATGTGTGTGTGTGTATATATATATATATGTATATATATATATACACGCACACACACACACACACACACATGCGGCGTGTGTTTGTGCTTTAGGGTGCACACCCTAATGTAATAGGCTGCGCACGCCTATGATGCTGGGGGAGACACAAATTCTGGGGGAGACAAAGAGGCTGAGGGAGAGACAGAGGCAAGGGGACACAAAGAGGCTGCAGCGGATATCACAGCAATGAAAAAGAGCATCCTAGGGAGACCAATTATGATAGCTAAGGTTGGTTAACAAGGCCCTGGAGAGATAGCACAGTTAAGCGGACAAGGGCACATGTATGAGTGTGGGGATGGATGCTTGTGATTGGTTGTGTATGATTGTCTGGGTGGGATTATGTGGTGTGTGAGTTTGGTGGACGTGGTCTTACCTCTTGTGATTCAGGCCAGCAAACAGCTTCCTGTCCTCTTGCTCCTGTTTGTCCTGGGCCTGTAGTCAATCTGCTTGATAGATGGAGGTTGAGGCTATCCTGGCTTCCCTTAGAGCTGCTGCTGCTGCGCTGGATGGTGGCCTGCAACTCCACGAGCAATATGCTCGCCTCACCCCAGGTATGGCTGCCGACATGGTTCCCCCCGCGGCCAGGTTCCCCCCTGCTCCTGGGGGCCGCACTAGCACCGCCTGACATTCCCGCCCGCCAGATGCTGCACCTTGGGCCCGGTTGAGGAGTAGGAGCCTGGGCCTGAGGCATTGACACACGGCCTGCTACTGCCATGCAGGATGTGAGGCCTACTACTGTCGCGCAGGACTCGCAGACTTTACCCCCTGCTTCCAGGCTTGCCCCGGCCTCCAGCGTGGGAACACGGGCAAGCGGCAAGCGGGGGGACAGCACCTTCCCGGCAGCATGTGGCCACCCAGCGACCCTCCAGATCCCCCCACAGCAGATGGGATGGCGAGGCTGTGACCCGGGCCCTGGTGGTTATGAGGCGGGTGAGGAAGGCTCCCATGGGTCTTGTTCCCCTTTCTGTTTCGCCCCCTCTGTTTCCTGATTTTTTCCTGGGTCCTCTCTTGGGTCTTGCAGGGGGCCCCACTTGCCTCTGGGAGGGCCCCCTGGTTTCCCTTCTTCCTCCCCTGGTCCCTCTGCTCCCTCTCCCCCCTCCCGCTGGGTCCTCCTTTCTTCCTCCTTCCTTTACTTCTCCTGTTCTTCTCCTTGCTTCTTACCCTCTGCCCTCTAACCTCCCCTCTGTTCTCTCTGGGTGCCCTCTCCCCCCTGCTAGACACTTACCTCGACTGTCTCCTGGTGTGGAGCGTGGGCTCACCTCCTCTCCGTTGCTCTTCTCACAGGACTTGGCTGCTGTTACTGGGACTGTCCAGCAGGTGGCACCTTTGAGGAACACAGTGGACACTGGAATTCGTGGCACTCTGCCTTCACCTTCTGTGCTTGCTGTGCCGCGGTTGTAGCGCCAGGCATCAGAGGGTACGGTGTTCCCTCTTCTTTCAGTCAGTCGGGTCCCAAGTTGGGGGGTTCCTCTCGAGTCTTCGGGGTTTTTTAGATTATTGTGAGCAGTGGGTGACAGTTAGCGCGGGAGTTCTCTATAGATAGTCAATTCAGGACGGTTTCGTCATCTGGGCTGACTGCCCAGCATCCCTGTAGGGCCGGTAGAGAGACCTCGGTCCCATCTCCACCTGCCGTCTGGGGTTCCTCTCAGTAAATCTCTATAATATCTTTCCAGCTGAAGGGGTCTGGATCTGGATCTGACGCTCTGCTTTTCTGTCGTGCCTTTTCAATGGAGTGGAACAGATGTTGGTAGCTCTGCTCCAGCTCCCACTCCATTGTGACCAGATGAATCAGGTCTGGCCCCAGGTCATCCACTTGGGGAAGATCCAGCAGAGTTCTGCAGGGCATCCAAAGTCATTGCCCTTCTCAAAGGCCTCCCACAGTAAGCCCGGGCCATTATAATCTTCTCCTTCCGGCAGATAGTGGTTAGTCATCCAGGGGTTGCGCTTGGTGGCGTACCACTTTAGTGCCCGGTAAGCTCCATCCAGCCACAACTCCTTCCAAATCAGGTCCCACAGTTCCATTACCCACTCATCCAGGGGTTGCTCCCCTAGGAAAGGTGACCGCAGAGCCACAAGTACCTGGAACCACTGTTCGTCACTGGGAAGGTTCTTTCTCCGCCGCCGCTGTAACTCCTCTAAGGCCTCATACCTCAGTTCCTTCCGAGTGGCATCTCTCCAGTCCAGTATGCCCTCCTCTGATACAGGCCCATCCTGC